TTAACGACCGTGGCACGAGCAGGCTTGGTTTGGAAAGCTCTGCAAGATCCCTAAGCTCTGGCTTCCTTGACAGCCGCAGATAGCTCAGAGCTACGAGTCGCTGCTCCTGTCAAACCGGTTTTTGGCATGCCTGTTACTCTGACCACCCCACTGCTCATGCTGTTAAACAGCTTTCCTTTCAGATGCATTTACTTTACACCTGTGCGGACAGACAACAGAAACACCCTGTTAATACAAATACTCTTATTTTCTCAGTTACCATGAGTTTATTGGTTAGAAACATCTCTCGCATGCTTTAAAAAAAACCCCTCTTGAGCAGACCTGGAAACCTTCCTAACTCTCAGAAACTTGTTTTTTGAATGGAACAAAGACTCATTGTCTCCAGCTGGACTGCGTCGTGGCGGCAGAATAGGGAACGCATGCAAATGCCCTGCTGATTTACACACGGCTAAATGACCAATCCTGATTTATTGGCCCTGGAAACGTAAGCACGCTGTCAGGAGACTACGCCCCAGTTCGGGCTGTCTTGCAGAGTCATGCTTACAGTATCGTGTCCTTAGGCACTGCTTGCTGAAAGCTGGGGCCTGGCTGTTGGGGGTCTTAAAATGTCACAGTCAGGCCAACATAATATAACTGGCATAATCAGGATTCAAGGCAGGACTGAATTAGCAATTATTGAGAGTGACCTTCCTGCTTTCTGTCCTTCCATCTTAATAGAAGCCATTGCACCAGGGGTGACGGGAGACAAGCAGCTGGACAGGAGCCAGTGGTGCGCCTGTGGTGCCAAGAAGGCGACCAGCATCCTGGGCTGCATCGGCAGGAGCGTTGCTGGCAGATGGAGGCAGTGATCCTTCCCCTCTATTCAGCACCGGGGAGGCCACATCTGGAGTCCGGTGTCCAGCTGTGCGCCCCCCCACTACAGAAAGGATGTGGACACGTTGGAGGGAGTCCAGTGGAGGGCAATGAAAATGGTTGTGGGGCTGGGGGACAGGACTGGTGAGGAGAGGGCGAGAGAACTGGGCTGATTTATTCTGCAGAAGAGAAGACTGAGGGGGATTGAATAGCAGCCTTCACCTCCCTGCAGGGGGGCTGCAAAGAGGATGGAGCTGGACTGGTCTCAGTGGGGGCAGATGACAGGACAAGGAGCAATGGGCTCAGGCTGCAGCAAGGGAAGTTGAGGCTGGATATTAGGATAAACTCTCTCACTAGGAGGGTGGTAAAGCACTGGAGCAGGGTACCCATCCTTGTCAAGCCAGGCTGCAAAGCCCCGGCTGGGGTGATGCAGTCGGGGCTGGTCCTGCTTGGAGCAGGGGTCGGACTGGATGCGACTCCTGAGCTCCCTTCCCACCCTCATGGTCTGTGACTCACTGAAAGGGGGGCAGGAACCAAACTACATTTTGGAGGGGTTGTTGTTTTTTGACCTTCAGTCTATACAGGTGATTGAAGACCTGTCCTGCAGGATGATTTCTGGGTCCCCCTCAGAGTGATGTTTCAGTTCCATGACTCCTATTAATGTAGATTTTTTTTTTTGTGGGGGAGGCACAGTTAGATTGCATGTAGCTTTATCAGGCCTCGAGAGAGATTTCACAATAAATGTCCTGTTTATAGTAACCTCTTGAACAGAAAAATCTTCATCATAGTGAAAGTAAACATTGCCTCTACAGAGGAAGGGAGAACTCGTTGCCATTGTTGCTGGAAATGTGCTTTGTCACTATGGCTCAGGGAAATTGGCCTTCAGTCTCCAGCTTTTCTCTCAATATGCCAAAGGCTTTAGTCAAAATATCCTGTGTTGTCTGGCTTTGCTTTTTCTTCCAGCAGCTGAAACAAATCTGGCAGGGGTCACAGCCTCTCCTCCCAGCTGCATTTTTCTTTTAATTCTGGTCGGCAGGGTAAACTGGACCATCAGTTATCTTTACGTAGCATTACTTGTTTTGCCAGCTTTGACATGTGAAATGCTGGTGCTTTGATAAATGAGTTGAAAGAAACTCTGTGTGTGTTTCCTTGAATCATCACAGTCTCCTCTGTGGAAATGGTTTCCTCTCGTACAGGAATACTCCATAGCTGAGATCAGCGCCCCATTGTGCCCGGCTCTGTACAAAGTCGGTTTAACGAGCGGTCAATCCTGATCTAAAAAGGCAAGGCTAAAGTGATGTCTCCATCCACAGAAACAGTGTCCCTATCAGTGCTACAAAAGCTTTAACTTTAGATGCTCCTCCTTTGTCACCTTGTTAAAGCAGACCAAGGCTTGTTGGGTAGATGTGGGTAGGTCTGTACTCCGAGTTGTAATCGTGCTGGTGTAGATATGCGAGGTAGGCTTGGATGCCATCCTGGTGTGGGATGTTGGTGTATAAACTAGTGACATCCATGGTGGCTAGGGGGGTATTGCTGGGAAGGTGGTTTATGTTTTTGCATTTTTGCAGGAAATCTGCTGCCTTGCATACAACTCGGTCTTTGGGTGCTGAGCAGTTCTAGGATGGACTTGACGAAACCTGATATTTCTTCCGTCAGGGCTCTGTGGTTGGAAGTGATAAGTCTGCCAGGGTTCCCGTGTTTGTGCATTGCTCGTGTTTGTGGATCTCCTGGTTCTAACCCTCAAAGGGAACTTACAAAACACCTTTCGCAGATGAGCCTATGAACTTCACTTCCTAAATCTACTGGATACAAAAAAAAAAAAATCATGGACTCAATGTAGACCCTGGATTTATGACACATTACAACCTGCCTGATATCTGATTCACCAGGTACCTGCCAGACCTGAGCCTGTACCCTTTTCTTCCCCTCCTCCTCCTTTACTGCCCTTTGTCTTCCTAATTTCCAGCTAGTTACTTTTTCCAAGACAGCCTCTTTTCAACCTTGGAAAATTACTACTGTAGACTCTCCTTTACTCACCTGTGGCTTTTTTTCCCCTCCCTTCCCCTGTCCCTCCCTTCCCTGCTCTACCTTTTTGTTTTCCTAATTTTCACCTATTTACATTCTCACTGACATCCTGCCACACTTTCAGCTTCTTTCATTCCTTGGAGTCTCAGAACAGCAGACTTCCTGTGTCTGAAGAAGGATGATTGGATCTGAAAGCTTGCAAAAAGCAATCAGGACTCGTAGTAGAGATGATATCTTTTATTAGACCAACAAGATTTTTGCAAAAAAAAATTGTTTAATTGCAAGCCTTTCGGGCACAAACACCCTTCATCCGGCATTGGAGAAAAGATTGTAAACATTCTCCTAGGTAGCAAAAGCTGAAAGCTTGCAAAGAACTTTTTCCAACTACTCAGTTGGTCTAATAAAAGATCTCACATCTACCCCAAAGAACCTTGTCTGCCCATGTCCTTAGACCAGCACAGCTACAGCCAAGAACCTGTAAAACAGACCTGGCGTTCAGGGCAGGATAGAGATGTATAGTCAAGGACTTGCTCCCCACTGGAGAGTTAAGATAATAGGTGGTTCGACTGGGACAGGCTACCCAGACAGGTGGTGGAGTCTCCATCCTTGGGGGTGTTGAAGCCCCAGGTAGACAAAGCCTTGTCTGGGATGATGTAGTTGGGGCTGGTCCTGCTTTGAGAGGAGGTTGGACTAGATGTGTCCTCCTGAGCTCCCTGCCCACCCTCATCATCTGTGATTCTACAAAATATGATCTTACCTTTTTCTGTCGCTGGAAGAAGCAGACAGTGTCAGCATGTGCCTGTTGCTTATTTTAGAATAATTGGCTTTGTAATTTTATTTTTTATCTCTGTCTTAACCAAAAGCTGCTGGAAAAATTTGGAGAAGACCCTGTCCCACCTTGTCCAATTCTGGTGTCGTGCCTCACAGCTCACCCGAGGCAGGCAGGTGAGCGCATGCCCTGGTGTGTGCTAGCATTTCACCAGAGCGCTTATGGACAGAGGCTGTTTCTTAGAATAGCAGCTTCATTGTAGAACAGGTGGGAATATGGGAAGTGAGTAAAACTATAGGAAAAGCTACTATGTGCAGAGGACTAGTATCCTAATAAAGCAACATGGATAGAGTCCTCACGCTGATTTATTTTTTGTTAATGTTTTGTTTTTTAATATAACTCCCCTAGCATGGTATGGATCATGCTGTTGTAGGCACGGTGCTGCTGATGAAGGCTGGAAAGAGTGTCCCAGTAGAAGTCCTGGGAGGAGTTGTACTTTTAGAGCAGCACAAACACCTCCTGGCATACCTAGATAACAAGGGGAATAGGGCAGCTGTATTGTGCCTTGACAGCAACCCACATCTTTGACCTGTGTCTTCTTCCTGCCTACAAGGAAGACTTATTTTTTCCTAATCCCTTTGGTGCATCTAGCAGTAATTAGCCCTGCATGGTTCTTACACCTAGGCGAGGAAAGAGTTATGAAGGATTCATGACCTCCAAGGTGGGTCTCTGCACATACAGATTTGAAACTACAGGTCTAGGCCTGAATTTATAATTAGCAGGGTTTCTTTTTCTTTGTAGATCCACAAAAGGTCATTCTTGAAAACAAGACAGACGTTGCCATCTCATGAATTTTGCTGGGTTAATCTCTGTTTCTGATTGCAGGTGAAGGAGGCAGTGAAGTATGCGCTCAGCGTAGGTTATCGCCACATTGACTGTGCTGCAGCGTACAGCAATGAAGCTGAGATAGGTGACGCCTTCCAGGAGAGCGTCGGGCATGATAAGGTGAAAAACGAATGGTGAATATAAACTGGACTATAAATAACAATTGCACTGTGAAAAAATGGCATGCTGGAGCGTAATTTGAAGTGTTCCCTTGTTATTTCTGACTTATTTCTTATTCCTTCTCCCAGAAATCTACTTCTGAAGGGCAAACATTGCCTACTTCTTTTTAGCTCCTACAGTTTATTCATTTGTCCATGCCCACTGCTGACCCTTCCTAGTTTACTTGTGTCTTTGCAGGTATTGAATTCCCTTACTTTTTACATCTGTTTAAAACTCTGGGTTCTTAGCAGATGTGCAGGGCGTTAGGAATACTTCTTGCCCTAACAAAAAGCCAAGTAGAAAAAGTTGTGGATTATGGTTTTTTAGTTTTTTTCCTACCTTCTTTCCATTTGAAGCGCTCTTGGTAAGTAGGACGTCACTCTGGAAAGAGCGTCTGTAGCTGAGCACAGTAACTACAGAAGCTAGCTGAGGGTCAGAAGTGGGACTCATGAAACAAATACATGAATAACCTAATTTATACTGGAGTCAACTGAATAGTCTTTTCCCTTTGGCTATCTGTAGCTGAATAATGGCTCTAATGCCTGTTTTGACCACATTTGTATATGGGGATAACACAGGAAAAAAAACCCAGGTTGCACTTAGTTCAGAAGAGATTCGCCGTGGAGACCTTGGAGATGTGTGTGTGGCTCCCCAGACTCTTTGAAAGTTACTAGAAATGTTGGGGAATGGAGGAGAGATTCAGATATTTCCATGTAAAATCTTATTTTTCTTCTCATTCTCCATCCCACACTTCTTTGGGTATACAGTTCAGAGTTTCAACACTAGCCCCTCTGAATTTAAAATCTAGTGGTTCTCTGTCTGAGGAGCTGCTGTGGACGTGTCTCCTTCTGGCCAGCACCTTTCACTGTATTTACATTGTCTTTGATGCGAGTTGTGCCAATAATTTGATTTCCCCCCCCCCCCTTCTCTTTCTAAGCTCGTTAAAAGGGATGAGCTATTTGTGACATCAAAGCTATGGAATACAAAGCATCACCCAGAGGACGTGGAGCCAGCTCTAAAGAAATCGCTGAAAGATTTGCAGCTGGATTACCTGGACCTGTACCTCATTCACTGGCCACATGCCTTCGAGTGAGTTCTTCCTGGGAAGAGAACAGGGACGATGGGGGCCTTGCAGCACTATAGGCCACCTGATTATAAATGCAGATTTATTTCCCTGCAGCTGTGAAATCCTTGATGCAGCTGTTGCCTTGTGGTTAGTAGGGCTGGCCTGAGGATGGTCGGGTTAGGGTGCTCCTCCACTGCAGGTTGATATATGCTGTTACTGACTCAAGTGAAGTTGTGCCGTTTTATTCCAGCTGAGAGTCTGGGCCATTATAAAGGAAATCTTTTCCAAACATAAAATCTGTCCGATTCTGCCATCATCCCCCTAGGTCACCGGGATTGCGACCCAGAAGATCTGGATCCTGTTCCTGGTTTTGCTGCTAATCTGCTGGGTAACCTTGGCCAAGTTGCTTCTCTCTGTGCCTCAGTTTCACTGCCTGTAAAATATGATGCAGATCCTTTCCAAAGGAGATCTATATCATTGAGATCTATTGGTGAAAGCAACAGGAGCCAAGTATTAACATTTATGACCGGATTAGATAAAATGCTTAATCATGCACCGTAAGCAAGTGTTGTAACCATAGGGAGACAGAATAAATGTGACCTACTATGACATTTATATACCGGCAGCTGTAAGACTGAAGGAGGTAACAGCAGAGGAAGTTCTCCTCCTGTTGCATATTTACTTCTGTTGCCCCATGGATATTAATAGGCAACTGGCCAGTTAACAGGTTGTCACACCCTTGAATTCCCTCTTTTGATAAAAGAGTAGGAAACCATTCATAGACACCCCAAACACGTTTATTACCAATAAATAGGGAATATAAGAAAGTACAAGGTGCAAGTTTCTTTTCTTTTTCTTTTGTTTTCTTTTCTTTTTTTTAATCGAACTTCTTTGTCTCTTTCTTGCATCTCGGGGTTGCAGAACGGGCGATCAATGGGAAGTCTAGCTGTTCTGCCCTCAGGCCGAGAGGGGGAGGATGACTATTCTCAGGAGAGATGTTGCTACACAAAAGGCTGAAAATTTGTGGGAAACTTCTCTTTTCTGTGAACCTCTGAGTACCAGTTTGGACTGGCTCCTCAATGGTCCCTGGGAGGTATCAGCTGAGCAAGACTTAATCCTCTGAGAGAGATTTGATCCTTTAGAGGAGTCTTCCCAATATGTATATGGCTCACGATAGGATCATAGGAAAGTGGAGCTGCGAGAGACCTTGCAAGATCATCTAGTCCAGCCCCCTGCTCCAGGCAGGATTATCCCTGACTAACCCATCCCAGACAAGTGTCTGTCCAACCTGCTCTTGAAAATGTCCAGGGATGGAGATTTAGGCCATCTGTTCCAATCCTTGACCACCCTTGGAGTCAGAAAGTTCCCCTTCATCTCCAACCTAAACTTTCTCTGCTGCAGCTTGAGGCCATTGCTCTTGACAGCCACAGAGAAGAGCCCGTCTCCATTGTGTCTATAACCACCCTTTAGATATTTGAGTAACCCTGTTCTTTCAGCCTTTCCTTAAAGGTCTTTCTCCCCAGGCCCCTAATTATTGTTGTTGCTCTCTGCTGCACTCTCTCCAGTCTGTCCAGATCCTTCTTGACATGTGGGGCTCAAAACTGGACGCAGGAGTCCAGGTGATGCCTCGCAAATGCTGAGTAGGGTGGCAGGATTGCTTCCCTTGGTTTGCAGGTGGCATTCCTGTGAATATAACCCAGTATATTGATGGCGTTGTTTGCAACAAGAGCACACTGCCTCATGTTCAGCTGATGGTCCAGGGGAAGCTGAGCTAATGGGCTTTCTCTGAACAGGAACTAAAACTCATGCTTTCAGTTAAAACCACAGTGTCGATAGGTCTCGAGATTTAAACGCTCGTTGCAATACACAAATGTAGCAGGAAAAAACTGCTTGCAGCTCATATCTGCTCTCCTGTTCTTCTCTTTTCCCATGCATGATCTCAGAAGGTTATTTTTTTTAATGTTTTTTTGGTGCTAGGCCTACTATTTGTATGAGGAAGAACTCTGTCCTCCTGCCACTTTTTCACAATCCCTTGTTTTTCAGCTGGGGTGATGTAAGGAAGCATGGCAAACCAATGCCTGGGTTAGTGATCCCATGCTGCTGTTAGAAAGCACGCTTTCAGCACACCAGAAAGCAGCTATGTTACGTTTTATGATGATTGGGGTGTACGGAGTGGGAGCAAGTGGGTGGGCGCAGTCATGTCCTAAAGGTTCCCATCCCAGTTTGCGTTCCTCAGAGACCAATTATATGCTTTCTGCAACGTCTTGTGTGCACCGAGGCACTCTTAGATGCTCTGCGTGTGTATGTGGGTCTGTAGGACTAAACTGGAAACACTCCTAACCCAGAGGCGGCAAGGTGAGATTTCAAATCTACACCCCCTGACACCTAGGCCGCAGTTTAGTTTTGCCCTTAGTGCCCTGGTGTATCTTGGCTAACTTGGTGTTACATCCAGCTCTGCTAGAGGTAATGATCTTTCGGCAAATTAGTTGAAATATGAAACGCACAAGATGTAAATCAGTTTTCCGTGTGCTTGAGTCAAAGGTAGTCTCACCTCCGACAGGACCTTGTAACGCATGCATTGGTCTGCTACAAGAATTTGGATAAACACTTCTCTTACTGAACAATTGCAGTAATAGAAATTATCTTTTTAATGCTGTAGGCGAGGGGATAATCTCTTCCCCAAGAACCCTGATGGCATGATGCGTTTTGATTATGTTGACTACAAGGACACGTGGAAGGTAATGGAGAAGCTGGTAGAGAAAGGCCTTGTGAAGGCTATCGGGCTGTCCAATTTCAACAGCCGTCAGATCGATGACATCCTCAGCACAGCCACAATCAAGCCCGCTGTGCTACAGGTGAGACAAGGAGGAGAGCCCCTTTTTATGCCCATTGGGCGAGGGAAGACTTGCTGGCTCATTGGTATATGTCGAGCACACGTAGCCTGTGGTGCGTTCCTGCAGCGGCACAGGCCCTGGCACCAGCATAGCAATGCAGGGGAAGCCTCAAAGAGGAGAGAGCCCCGTCCGTGCTTGATATAAGAGCTTCTCGTGCTGGAGAACTTCCCTGGGAGAGGGTTTAAGTCTGTGGCCTTTGAGCTCTCTATGCCGGCTTGGCTAAATAGAGATGATAGAGCTTCACCGTTGGGATATCTGTCTTACTCGTGTAGCTTCAGTTCAACTGGTCACGTCTGTAGGGATAAGGAGGAAGGTCATCTCTCTGATAGGAGGGTCCCAGTCCATAGTGCAGGAGGATCCCTCTGATAGATAGGAGGGTCCACTTGGGGCTTTTCAGGTCAGAGCTGACATTACGCTTTAACTAGGAGGCTGTAGAGAGCTGGTGCACATTGTGGAGCACTGGTGTCTTGTATTCGTAGTGGGAAAAACTCTGCTAAATGTGCAAATGCCTGCATTTTATGCCAGTATCCCTTTGCGGGGCATGTGAAATAACTTCACATAGACTCCACTGGAGATGCAGAAATCTCGAAGTGTCAGAAGCATGGATCAGAGCAACCAGGTCCTCATCTGAAACCAACACAAAATAACTCAACAGTTGCAGCCTTCTGGACAGGCACAGGTTTTGAAATGAGCCAGCGTTAGGATCAGCTACCAGCTGTGGAGTCCTTAATACCCTGATTAGGATTTCCTCGTAACAAATGGCTGATGCAGCCCCCAAGTTCAAGTGGGATTTTAAAGGATCGTGATGTCTTTCCAAACCATCATAGTATAGATGGTAGGAATGAATCCCTGGAAAGACAGCCTTGCCTGCGCTGGCTAAGACTGCAGACAAGCCAGCATTGCATAGGTGTGTACCCATGGTCCTGGTCCATTGCCTGGACAGTACAACTGTTTGTGGTGAGGGTGTAATTGCATAGTGGTGTTTTTGCTTTCTTTGAACGTATTTAAAAAGTGCTCTATATTTACCCATGTGACCATGGAAGACTACTATATTAACTGATTATTTTGGGCTCTGCTCATGAAGTTCTAGATTTCATAGTAAAAAAGGATTTGTGGGAACCTGTTCACTCCCCTAGTTTTGGAAATATGTCATGACTTCTCTTTACTTTACTATGTGCTAGCTGAGCTCCTTTTTCTAGCAGGGTTTCCAAAGAGTTTGGATTTGTACAAAATAAGATTGAGTGCTATGCCAGCAGTATTCAATAAATACATTTTAATGGGTGCTGGAAGTTTGTAGTGGAGCTAGACATGGTGTTTTTCAGGCTAAGGCGAGAATATGAATTTGCCATGACCTGCTAAACCAGTGGTTTTCAACTTGTGGTCCGCGGACTCCTGCTGGCCTGCAGACTGTCTAAGGGGTTGACTAGGATCAATCAAAAGTATGTGAATACCCACACTTACAATTCAAAGAGGTCCATGCCTCCATTCAAAACTTTTTAGGGGTCCACAAATGAATAAAGGTTGAAAACCACTGTGCCACCATGAGTTAACTTCTGGTTTCTCTTGATTTGTGAGTTGTAATATCACAGAGTTCCTTGCAATCAATTTTGATTAGGATGGTGATGGTGATGATGATGATTAGGGTGGTGGTGGTGATGATGATGATATTCCCTGTGTACCTAGCCTTCAATTTACCGCAATGCTATGTTGAGTTTGGCTGGCTGGGTGTTCACTGACTGCTGCTTTAACAGGTGGAGTGTCATCCCTACCTAGCCCAGAACGAGCTGATAGCTCACTGTCATAAAAAGGGGCTGGTCGTCACTGCATACAGCCCTCTTGGCTCCCCTGATCGAATGTGGAAGCACCCTGACGAGCCTGTGCTTCTGGAAGAACCCGGGATCAAGGCATTGGCAGAAAAATATGGCAAATCACCAGCTCAGATCATCCTCAGGTAACTGACACCTGGGGGAGAGGGCAGTGCTCTATCTAGACCCTGCTGGAGCAAGTGGCAATAATTAAAGCAGCTAGTTGCTTTTCCTGTCAGTAGAAAATCATTGTTCTGAAGAGGACTAAAGCACACCTCATTTCATTATAGCTTGGATCTAGTCTAATTGGCCAACCATTTTTTTTTTTTCCCTCCTTTGCACCCTCCATAGCATAACATAGGGTTTTTCATCCTTCTGAGTTTCTTCTGGGAGTCATGGAAGCTCTTCAGAAGGAAGTAAAGGTATTTGGCTACGTCTGGAATAGGATCAATGTCTTGCAGTCAACTTTGTTTTATCCTTTGTCTGCCCTGGTTCTAATCACAACAGCATGGATCTGGGGTTGGGGTTGGGGTTGGTTAGGCAGCTGGTGGAAGGACAGGCTCTTCTGTTCAAGCCTTTGGACAAGGGCTAAAGAGATTTGGGCTCTTTTCCTGACTCCCCCACAGACTTTCTGTTTTGACCCTATGCAGTGGCTTGAGTTGAAGCTTTCATAAGTGGCTACTTCTTGGCGGTTCAACTTTGAGACGCTTGATGTATAGATGTACCAAACCTGCTATGTTCTGGTTGCTCAACTTCGAAACATTCGATGTATAGATAATATCAAACATCTCAAAGTTGAATGATCAAAAAGTAGCAGATTTCATATATCTATATATCAAACATCTTGAATGATCAAAAAGTAGCAGATTTGATTATATCGTAGAATCAGTGAGTTGGAAGGGACCTAGACAGATCATTGAGTCCGACCCCCTGCCATGGGCAGGAAGGAGCACTGGGGGCGAGAGGGGTCATAAAACCCCAGGCAGGTGCCTATCCAGTCTCTTCTCGAAGATTAAAGATATCTGTATCTGATTAAAGATATCTGTATATCAAACGTCTCAAAGCTAAACGATCAAAAAATAGCAGCCACTTATGAAAGATGGGTGTGTGTATTTAACTCTTCTTATAGATTAATCAGCTCAGTGATGAGTTTGCCCTGCTTCGGCTTGGTGTTGTTGGGTTCCAAATGATAACTGTGTCGGGCCCCCCAGAAGGGACTGAAGGTCCCCGTGGTAAAAGGAGATGGCACAAATGCCTCTCTGAGAGAGCACAGGCTGCGTGTACACATTCAGATAATTTGGGAGAATTCTCCCAGGTTTGTTCTTGGTAGAAAAACTTATCTGGAGCCATGTGTACAGACACTTGAATGCTGAGGCCCGGAGAAGCAGAGAGCTGGTGTGGCTGGGGCAGATCGGGCCGTGTGTGTAGAAGTTAAGGTCTTTCTTTTCCTCCTGTGTTACCAGGTGGCAAGCCCAGCGTAATGTGGTTACCATTCCCAAGAGCGTCACCCCTGCCCGCATTCTGCAGAATCGCCAGGTGAGAGCTTGCTCCCGTCTTTCAAAGAGAGGATTTTGAGTGAGGCACAGGTATCGGCAATGCTTTTCTGTGAGGGACACCTAAGAGTTTCACAACTGCATAACAGCAAACCAGGCTGCCGAGCCCATGACTTACAAGCAGCACTACAGTCATTAGTGTTTAGCTACAGAAGCAAAATAAGTTCATCTGAGTTTTGAGCAACAAAAAGCCTTTATCAGCAAGCACTTGCTTTTCAAGTAAATTGATCTTGCCATTTGTAAAGGCGATCTCTAGTGCCAAGTTGTGTCATTAGATGAATGTTAGGTAAATAAGAATTTCTGTTTCTCGTGACATAATATTTCCCAAAGCTGCTTGGTAAAGAACAGTCGCTCTTTTGTCTTTACTCTCCATTAGGGGTAGTTGTGTGTTTCTGTAGGAAGCAGTCATTTGAATGACATGCTCTAGCTGGACTAGCTTTAGTAGAAGTATAATTTTAAAGCTACTCCTCTCCTGCTCCAGATTAAAATAGAGACTGCGTATTTCACTTCAGAAATTACTGGAAGTTAGAGTTAATAACTCTGTTCAGGTGCAGATCTTTCTGCCTCAGATTCTTAAATTGTACTTGTGGAAAACTGGATAGATAAGTACAAAAAAAAAAAAAAAGAGGGTCTGATCATGCAGCTCTTTCATATTAAGGCAAATGCTAATGACACCGGTGGAAATATTGAGCAATGCCATTAAGCAGAATGAAGCTGTATTGATGCCAGTCTAGAGCAGCTGGGAACTGAATTTGGTGCACCGTGAAGCATTTATTCACCAGGATGGCCCCCGTGATTTTGACTTCTCTAAGTTTGCTGTTGGATACCGGGAAAGGCTGAAGAGTCAACTCCAAGTAAAGACCTCGAAGTTTAGGCCTCTATCTAAAATTTTTATTGAGTTGGCTCAACTAATTTAAATGAATACATGAGCAGAGGGCAAGGCCTGACTTGGTTCCATTACATTTACCATTTACGGTCCCCCTAAATAGGACCCTTAATTCTTACTTTAACATTATCACAGTTTTGCCCCCGATGCTTGTGCTAGTTACTGAGATGTGAAATCAGGGAGTCGGCGCGCTCTCAAGTTGCGGCTTCCAATGCAGTTATTCTTGTCGATATTATTTCACACGCTACGTTTAATTTTACTTTTCTTTGGATTTAAACGTAATCATTAGACTCTCTGATACCGCCCCGAGGTTTTACTTTTTCAGTCCAGACAGGAATGCTCGACAATTACAACTTCAATGATTCCAGCCTCTTTTTCCTTTGTATCCTGTCTTTGAAAAGGGCAGTTGCCATTGCTCATGTCTCCGGATGGCATTTTGGAGTGGTTTCAAAGCCCCGGGTCTGTGCTCTGATTTCAGTTTGTTCTCCGATTTGTTGAGGCACGCAGATGCGAACCTCCCTGCTGCAAAGCCAGCTACCTATTTCTGCATTCTCTAGAGGAGATCAGGGCAGAGGGAGGTCAGCAGGAATTGTTAGGAGCGTAACAAAGCTGGGTGGCAAAGTTGAGAAACAACTAAGAATGGAAACCGCCGTTTTAGAAAAAATGTCTTCGCTTTGTTTTAGGTGTTTGACTTCAGCCTCACCGACGAAGAGATGAGCTCCATCAGTAACCTGAATAAAAACTGGCGTTATATTGTGCCGATGATTACGGTAACTTCATTTTCCTGTTCTTCTGACGGTCGAAGCCCCATGTGCACACGTGCATATACGATATGTGCTTCTTGCAGGTCTTCTTGCCTTTTGCCATTGCTTGTCAGGACTGTGTGTGGACAAAACACTTGATCTTAGGGTAACAAAGCTGGAGAGCATTTTAAATAAAGATTGGTGCCGGAGTTGCATAGGGCTAGGTGGGGAACCTGGTGGATGTGTTAAATCTGTGAGTTTTAGCGTCCTCCATTCCTGCAGCTTGCCCAAGGAGCTGTAGAAAGCTGAGGGGAAGTCAGCTGGCTTTGGCTAGGGTACAAAGAGCAAAAGGGAGGGGGTGCTGATTTCTGCACAGTCCCTGGAGGTCGATTATTGAAGAAATACTGCCCTCTTTCCCTCCCCAGTACCACTTTCTTCTCCTTCTTTTGAAACCACTGATTCTTGCTGCTTCTCCACGCTGATCCTTTTACCGATGCAGACCTGATTCCCATCTGGCTTTGGATCTCTTCTTGTTGCTCCTCAAGTTTGCTCCCCTTGAAGTAGAATTATGCTATGGTCTTCCTTGTTCTTTAAAAACAACCGCTGCTATACCTACCTCAGTGGCTATAAATCCCTCTCCCTTATTTCTCACTTTTCTAAACTCATTGAACATACTGGGTGCAACCGTTGCTACAGTCGCCTCTTCTCCGGCTCCGGGAGTCCCGTTGCCTCTGCTCTGCTGACCCTGCTGTCTCCGATACCTCTCTAATGATCTCTTGATTGGGTTTTGTACTCTATCTTTTCTCCCTTTTACATGTTTACTGGTTTGAACCCTGCTTGTTGTACTCTTCTCTTAGAAATCTTGGCTTTCCTTTTTCCCGTTGATACCAGTTTCTCCATAGTTCTCCTGCCTATCCGGTCATTCCTCCCGTGTCTCTCGCTTCCTCTTTCCCCAAGTGCTGTCCGATGCCTGACCTGTTTCTCTTGACCTAGTCCCAGGAGGGAGGTCTTGCTGCTGTTAATTGTAGCTTGGCTAATCCAAACTCCTTATGTTTCTTTTAAAGACCTCTGTCTGCCGTCCTGGGTGAACACACCACCATCCTGTCTACTGCTTGCATTTGTACCTTACGTGCCCTCTGACTTGATAGAGCCGCGTTTCCCTCCAAGGAAACGAGTCGCATTGCTCCATCCAAGTCATGTTGTTCCTTGCTCCATGATATTTTGAAGAACCAAAGTCTCTTTGTCTGTCCCTATTGCTGAACCACTCACTCGGGTCCTCCTCATTTCCTCTGCATGACGACTACGTTGCCTCCTTCCGCTCCAGACGTAGCGCTGCGACTTGAAGTGCCGTCGACCTTGCTCGGACCAAACAGCAGATGCTAAATGTTTAAGTGGCTCACACTTTTTTCTGGTGTGTCTTAACACCGTAGGACTCTCACATGGAGAGGATAGTGGCAATATAAACCAAGTAGATGGAGTCATTCCCCATATACATTTGGAAACTGTCACTTGTGCTCTGTCGTCGTTATTCAGAACAATCTCCCCTGGGCATATCTGCCTGTGAACTGGTCTTCGAAGAGCTGACTTGACGTGGGTCTGATATTTAGGTTTCCTCTCTGCTTTTTGTGTAGGTGTCTTTCTCTCCACTCCTTTGTGCAGGTCCAGGGCACCATATAAAGGTGACAAAACTGTGGTACAAATGGTTTTGCTAAGTTGCACGTAGAAACTCAGAGCGCTTAAATGCCAAACCTACGGCTGCTAATCCTGACACATAAGGGAGTGTTAGGATTAGCCTGGACTTGCTCTGTGCAATAAGCAGCAGTTTTGCCTGTGGCGCCACTGAGATCTTCATGTATGCTGAAGGATCCTAGGAAAGCCCAGTACCGTCTGCATCAGCAGCTCAAGATTTTCTTCATCCTTCTCTGTTTTCTTATCCTCAGAAGTTACCAGTGGTTGACTTGTCCCTGGGAGTCCCTTAAAGTGGGTGCTTCTGTAGTATAGGCTGCATTTAATGTTTCCTTTTCTTTTTTTGGCTGCCTTTTCCTAGAGCTTTGGGGAAACATGCGTTTTTACCTTGCTGCCCCATCCGCTCCCCTGCTCGGAGCAGATGTGCTGTAGGCACATGATGCGTGCTTCTATCAGTGGTGAATCCTTATTTTTTTTTATAGCTGTTATTTTTAGCAACATGGATCTTCAGACTCAAAACTTCATCAGTAGTGGGGCACCCATCAAGTCTCCATCTGTTCATAACTGACACCCGTTTGCACTTCCAGGTCAGAAATGAATGCATTGAATTGCCAGCTGGCCTGCAGAGAGAGCTGTTAGAAGATGTACATGCAGGGATTACAGGCACACCTGTTGCTGGCACTACAGATCTTGCTATACAAGCTGCTAATAAAACATGATGCTAATCATTCACAAAATGTGCTAAGAACATGTACCTGGGGTTGAACTAGGAGCTGGGATCATTCAGGTGCCTTTGTCCCATGGAAGAAGCTATCAGCATCACAGTGATTCACTGAGTATCTATTGAGATGAAACATAATAGTTCAAAGGGCTTCACTCATCCCACAGAAGAAGGCTAAGTGCAGAGCAGCTGGGCTTCAGAGGCACTTCCACCTTGGACAACAAAAAACAGGAAAAAATGAGATGGGGAGAATTAAAATGCAAATCTATTGGCCTAAGATCTGAATGAGATTCTCTCCCCTGCATCCCTTTTCAGTAGTACTTTCATCATCTCTTTTTCAAGTCTTTCATGCCTGTATTCTCCGCACATCTAATAGGTTGTAACCAGGCTTTCACGAGTATGTTGCTAGGTCACAATTGATGGACACATGCTGTTCTTGTTTTATCACGGTACTGTGAAGCCAAATGGACCAATCTCGCACAGAAAATAAGGGTATGATTTAGAAATTGGGCTCTTCAATCTATATTCAAGCAGGTGTTGTGAAGTTCTTATTCCTTTAAGGTCTGGATCAGCCCTGTAAAGGGGCAGGAAAGCATGTATAGCCATAGCTAGGTGTCAGGATCAAGTTATTCCTTCCAAAAACAAATGGGTGACAAAGCTACGTGTTTAGCCAAGGCTGCAGTCTCTCCATATACATTGACTTACTGTGCTCTGAAGAAGTAACTACTTGTGGTCTTGAGCTTAATTTACTTTATTTTAAATTATCTGAGCCTGATGCAAAGGGCAGTAGGTAACCTTCACTCTGTAACACCCCCTAAAAACCAATACAAGAAAATGCTTCCCCCTTCCTACCCCTCGAGACCCACTGAAAGGACCAGATACCGGGCAGTGAATATTTGACTACTTGATCCTTATTGAGCCAACCCGATTCATAGAGAAATCATAGCATAAAGTAGTTGCTGCTTTGGACCTTGATCATTTGTGAGACTTGTATTGCTAACAAGAAGTGCTGTCCTCTGCAGAGCAACTTTAAAAAGGAATAATTGAGCAGGGAGAAAATAAATGGGTACAAGAGTGTGATTTCTGGGGGGAGGGGAGGAGGAGTTGCTGACTTTCCAGTCCAAGGAAGACCATGTTTCCCACTGGAGACTGTAAAGAAACTGCAGATCCCAAGTGCTGTCCCTGGAGAGTGCCGTGGATTTGATTTTTTACAGATGGTCACATTTTGTGCGTGTGTTAAATTGCCTTTTTTCTTGAGAAAGAGGAAGCCTGGTGGTACTGGTTCTCTGCTCCTCAGTCCCTTCCCAGTGCCCCCTCGTGGCCAATGTAAAAATGAATCCTGCTGCACTGTAAATAATTCATTGGTAGGGAATCCAGTTGTTGGTTTCAATGAGGTGTTTCATATCGACAGCTTCCTTGCACCAGGATGCAAATTTACAAGTTGGCTTCAATCCTAAAATGTTTCTTGCTGTGGTCCCTCCACGGAGATCGGAGTGATATTATTTATTCTCCCCCACTGTCCCTGCTCCCTCCCGTCTGCTACTTGCCTGGAGTTGTTAGCAACTTCATAAAAAGCAGCTTGGACTCTAAAACGTGCATCTCTCTCGTAAGTCATTTTCTGACATGACACTTAAAGGCATCTCCTCAAACCCGTGCATTCAGGACGGGAATGTGGTAATACCGTGGTCCCCCTCAAGTCAACAGGAGTGTTGCCATTGACTTCAGGGGAGGCCAGATTTCCACCTGTGTCCGGCTGTTTCAAGTCGGCATCTGTGACTCAGAGCTCCCAGATCAAGAACCAGCTCTGCTACTGGGCGGCACTGGGACGTGGGGGACCTGGGCTCCACTTCTGGCTCGCCCAGGGCCACCTCACAGGCCAGTGGCAAAGTGACTTCACCTTTTTTTTTGGTGCCTTGATTTTTCTTCGCTGTAAAATGGGAATAACAATGCTAACTTTATTTTGTAAGTGCTTTGAGAGCTACAGATGAGAGGGAGCAGAGCCTTATTTAGTAATACTGTCTATGTGAGTAAAAAAGCACCTTATTTTGCCTCTGTGCATCCAACTGTAATACTAGGATTATAATGGCACCTCACAGGACAGTAGCTATTACTAGTGTGTTTCTGAAATGCTTTTGAAGCGCACAAGTACTTGGAACACTTATCCAATAATAGTTAGACATCTCAAACCCTAATTATTCTTATTCCCATTCCTCAAGCCCTCACCCCTGGAAAACTGACTTTTGCTGCAAAAACTCTTGTGGAAGGAAACAGCTTCCCAATGGCCCTGTGCCCCTTTTGAGAGAAGGGAGAAGGGTGGTTGTTAATCACCTACTTTTTAAAGACTGGGGCATACAGTTCTGCACTGTTTAAGGTTTAATTTTAAAACAAGAATGGGACTTTGATCTTTTTGACATTGATTGTCTTTCTCTTTTTACAGGTGGATGGAAAACTTGTAGCACGAGATGCTGGACACCCCCATTACCCGTTCAATGATCCCTATTAACTACAGTAATGAGATGTTAGAGCAGACTCCTTGCACTGCTCTACAAGCTAGCTGTTGTCATAGTTTATCATGAAATCTTTGCAAATAAAATCTTTTGAATATCTGGCTTGTGTTGGCCTGCAGGGTAGTGCACTGCGTATAATCTGCCCTCTTCCTGCAGGTATTGCAGTGGCCTTGTCAGAGCAGCTGGAGGGGCATATCATGACTCCTAGTTGATTCCTGTATTGTAATGTGAAATATTCACAGGATGGGGAGGGTAAATCAGACTCTAAAGCTGAAATTCAGGATAATACGCTTGTGTAAAGCAGTTGTCAAGGCTTTAGCTATTATGCTAGAATTTGTAGGTGGGCATGGAGCAATAGTAATAAAAAAAGTAACTAACTGCTTAATCCTGAATTTCAGTCATTTCCTAAATGAAAAGCAAAACTTCACAGGTGGCTGTTGCGTTCATGTGTGAAAGCATTGATTAAAACCCACATTTAATTCTGTTCTTCCTTTTGGACTCTTTGTGGGAGATGTAGAAATATACTTCTTTTTTCCAGTTGCTTTTGCCTGTCTGTTGCTACAGAAAATAAATGCACAGCTGGGAACAATCTTCTGCTCATTTCCTGCTCCTTGGTAGTTGGAGAGTTTCAAATCTGGCCAAGCTCTGACAGCATAGTCTGCTCAGTTGAGCACAGGACTTGAAAATAAAGGGTTACTACATACAAGTACAGTCAGCATCTGTGAGTCAGAGCTCCCGGATCAAGTACCAGCTCTGCTACTGCTTGTATGGCCTTGGGGATGTCATTTAATGTCCTGATTATCGCTTCCCCACTGCAGTGTAGAATTAATATTGACTTGCCTTGGAAGCACAGCAGATTTAATAGCCTTTTTTTCCCTTTGCTCAGCAAACTTCAAGGGATTCCTTAAGTTTTGAGGTCTCTTTTCAGATAGTCCATAGGCAATTCTTGTGTTTTGTTGCAATGAGAAGGAAACCACTCTAACTGGTAGTAGGTGAGAAGTAATACTATTTATATTTCCACAGCAGCTGGTAAGTACAACCGAAAGTAAAGAGAGAATTCACATACTCAACAAATAACTTTAGAAAAAGGGTCAGAAAATAATGTTGGGGTTAATTATCATGGCTTTGGTACAACTGAACCTGTTTTGCTTTAAGACAAGCAAAAGATCATCTTGTCTTACCTTCAGCATAGCACAAGATCTCAGTGTTCCCTGCACAGACCACCTTGGTTGGTGGCTGAGCTACAACTTTGAGAGATGTTCAAATGAAGATTTTTTTTGTGCCTTCTAAATGATCTCCATTGCTTAGTAAATCTTCATAATACAGTTTACATTTAAACTTGTGCTAATGTAGCAACACGTCATAACTGAACTGCTTTTGTTTAAGAAACGAGGTCTTTTCTTTAGGGGAAAAAAACTCTGTTCTGTTTTTTTTTCTTTGACAGCTGACACGTTTGTTCTAATTATTGTCCAGTGTTAATCAAACCTGGGTAACTGAGGTCTGAATATTTGTCTTGCTGCTGATCAGTAGTGTACTAATCTCTGCTATAGGTTGCTTTCCTTTACAGACACTATGCAAGAGAGATGGCACTCTGTAAGCTCTTGGAGCACTAGCTGCTCCTTTGAAGGAAGATTTTGCCTGTTTATTACATTTTCTCTGCTAATTGCATGTGCTTTCAATAAAGAAGGTGATCAGCATCTTGTGGTTTTTTCCCTAGGTTTTGGATGGAGTGGCAAATACAAGAAACCCAAATAAATCTTTTTTAAATTTCTATCTCAAATGATAGTGTCCAGTAAAAGGGGGCGGGGGGTGGGAAGGGACACAAAAACCATGGTAAAAGCAAGGCTTTCTGCTTGTATTTAATTCTGTAGGAACCTGAAACCTCCAGCTCACCACTGTTGTACCGCATGTCTCTCAATCTGTTACCACCCAAATAAAAGTAGGAAATGAGATTTAAGTTTTAAACGATGCAGCTGCTTCTGGTACTTGAGTGGGAGTTTTGAAGGACTTCACACAGCTGCAGCTGTGAAGCTGGGGTTATGTCCCCCACATTTTCTATGTTGAGAAAAGAGCAAAGGGTATCTCTGGACACAATGGGGTCCAAGGAACTGTTAATATTAACTCTCGAGGCCCAGGTAATAGCTGGCAGGGTGGTGGGAGTTTCTGACAGGTCATGAGAGCTATTAGAGCTTTCCCAAACTATTGGGATACTCTCCAGTTCCTATATGCTAGGAACTCCTACACCTTTTCATGCAAAAACATTAAAATATTACAACTGTGTTGTTATTGCTACAAATTAAATCTCAGACTGATGCTCTCTCTAGATAACTGCTTGCGTCACAGCGGTACCTGGATAGTGCTGGTACTTGTTGGCATAGGCGGCTCAGTAATGGCCACCTGTTTTGGCAGAGGATGAAATCCGACAGGGACTTGAGGCTCATATCACAAGTCACTGAGGTTGTTGGCTTTGCATGTTTAATAAATGTTGATGGTATGGAGCATCCTGTGGGATTTGTGCTTAAAAACTGGTTTGTGTGTCTTCTTGGTGGTGATATGTGCCTTCATAGATTGTAAGGCTGGAAGGGACCTCAGAAGATCATCAGGTCCAGCCCATTGGGGTCAATAAGACGTGCTGTGTGTGCAGCCCACTTTCTAAGTGCCTGAGGTATTCAGAATAGTGGCAGTCTCTTAGCAAGGCCAACCGGTATTTTACTGGTGTAA